TATAATATACAGTTATTAAAATTATTTATAATACTTTATATAATAAATATAACATATTTATTAAAAGTAATTTATATTTTAGTACTAAATCTAGTAATATTTTTATATCAGATTGGAAACTAGTGCATTAGATAAAAAAACGTTTTAATTGTGGGACAATACAAAAAGAAAAAACAAAGAAACTGATAAAAAATAAAAGGTATATAAAATAATTATCAAAAGATAAAAATGACTGTATAATTTGAACTTGACTCTTGTCAAGTAAATAATATATTCAAAATAAACATTTTTTTTTGTTGTACTTATTTAAACATATTTCAATCTATTCCTAAAATTATGGTTTCAATTTGTATAAATATTCTTGTATAAATTATATTATTAATTTATACAAGAATATTTATTAATTTATAAAAAATAAAAATAAAAATATATTCATTACGATACATAAATAAAAGCAGAAAAAATATTAAAAAAAAAAAAAAAAAAAGAAATCATCACAAAATGTATCATCACATAATTAATCATTATGAGTAATAATAATTAATTGTATGCTATAGTAACATTATCTCTGTATAGTAAATGAGATTCGTTACACAACAGGGTAATTTATTGCCAGCTGATGTATTTGCCATATGGATAATAACTAAAATTGTCAAAGAAATACAGACACGCGCATTTACATACTCAACATCATATGACTACTTATATTTATCTCTATGTGTATTTCTAACTAATGTCAATAATATTACAATTTTTTTTTTCTTTCCAATACAACAACTCTTTTCAATTCGCATATAATAAAATTATTTAATATTATTTATTATTTGAAAAAAAAAAGAAAATTATAAATTCACTTTTTATATTCGCATATCATTGATAATTAATATAATTAGTTTAATCTTATAATTACGAATACGTTATAGTAGTAGTAGTTATGATTAGCATTATTTACGTAACACACACATATGTATGTATATATATATATATATGAATAAAAAAACATAGATAGAAAGTGTTCATTAATAGGATTCATGAATTATATTATCTTGTTTATGTTATACTTTTTTGTCTTTTTGTCTCATTAATATTTCAAACAATGTTTTGAACATTTTAAACACTCAAACAAACGAGTAGTACATCTCTCTGCTCGTGTATACATAACATATATATACATATATATATATATATAAAAGAACAAAAAAATAATAATATTCAAAATAAAATAACGTTGAGTAATATTTCGTATTTTAAATTATTCATAAGTGAATTATTTTAAAATGGTTTCGTTTAAATAATAATTTAAAAAAAAAAAAATAATTAATACATATTTTAAATGGCGCGTCATGGAAGACGCTAGAAAAAAAAAAGTTACACAAGACTGCACACATAGTAAAGTAGTGTAGTATACCAAAAAAAAAAAAAAAAAGTATCACCCTGTGATAATGATTTTGATTTGGTGTATCTCTTTCTTTTTCTCAATTGGTAAAACCTTACGTAATATCAATACGCCCTGACTACGACGACTACGACTACGACGACGACGACAAAAACGTCGGAAATAATAAAAGTTATTTATTTAATAATATAATATACTTATTATATATGCTAATTCTTTAAAAATAAATAATGCTATTGAAAAATACAATAAAATAAAATAAAAAGAAAGAACACAAAGAAAGAAAAAAAAAAAAATTACATAACGTTAAGCAAATTACTAAGAATTTTCATATCTCTTACCAAATTCATCATAGTTGTTATATTTGTTGCGGTGGTGGATAAAGAATTTCTTGAAATAAACGTACATGCTTTTAATATAGTACTCATCTTTTTACGATCAATGTAATATTTGATTTATTATTATTATTATTATTATTTTTAGTTGTTTTATTGACTAACTGTATGCGTTACGAAAGGGTAATTTGCGGTTTATTTAATTTTTTATTTGTTCTTTTTAATTGTTAATCTTTCCTTCAATCGGATTTTTCGTTTTCAACAACGTCGTCGTTCTCTTCGTAATCGTTTTATGTGTGTGTAATGATGATCGTATTTTAACTTATTTTCTCTCTCTCTCACGATCTCTCGAAACGCCCACAACTCGTTTTACTTTCGATCAAAACGAAAAGGAAGAAAAGAAACTGCTGTTGCGCTGTGTTTCGGAGTTGTTTTATTCACGAGGTAAACGTAAATCATAAAAGAGACTGAGAAACACACCGACCCATTCTATTCGCTCGAATGCCGAGTTACTACTGAACACATCGAATAAGAAACAGTGGTTCTCATTTCATTTATCTTAACATTAATAATTACCCTGCTACTACTATTCGTCACGAAACATAACCTAGTTTATTTTTAATACTTTCTTATCTTTGTAAGTATATCACATTAGTACAATTTATATTCTTTAATTCCAATTCATATTGTTTTTTATTTCTTATTCGAGTGAAATATTTTCAAGATATATCCTACCATTCGTCACAAAACATAACCTATCTTTTACTACTTTCTTATCTTTGTAAGTATATCTCATTGGAACAATATATTTATTTTTATTTCCGATTCGTATTATTTTTTTATTCTTATTCGAATGAAATATTTTCGTAAACGAGTAATTATTATTTGTGTTATATTAAAAATCCAAATTTTCCCGCCTTATCGAAAGTAATTTTTTCTTACCCTCCTATCCTCCCACCCCTCGTCCCTCTACAGATCGATTATCAATGGCTACCAAATATTTAAGTGGCGCCAAATTCAAAATACGCGGCTACCCTTGTGCACGCACGCGTGATACACTTTTCTCAGTGATTCTCATTCTTTTCTTTTGTTGTTTTGTGGTCCAATTAGGGGGGGATTTTTTTTTTACCCAATTTCCCTCGTTCTTTGAATATATCCATGTGTGAATAGAATTATTTTATTATTTATTTTAAGCGTATTTATTTTAATCCTTCATATTTTATAGATATAAATGCTAATGTGTTTAGACGAATTAAAAAAGATAATATTAATATTATTATTTTTCTTATACGAATTTTCTAACCTAATTATCATCCAAATACGAAGATAATCAATAATTTTTGTATCATCTATAATTAACATTTTAAATAGAATTTTGTGTTATCTACTCTTTCTTTTACATTAACAGAAAAAAGATTACATTTATAAAATAAAGACATTAAAATGATTTGAATAAATAAGACAAAAAGAAAATAATGCATATTCTTATAATATTTCTTTAAATAAATCTATAATAATGATTTATATAATAGATTAAATATGCATTGTCTGATATAAAATCAAGCAATGAGATAAAAATCATTGTTATTCGTTATTTAATAGGATCGAATGGTTGGTGGTACGTGTTTAGCTTCCATTTCATCTAAAGTCGTATCGATTACCGGTCGATAAGAAATACTTATCTGTAAAATAATCGAACGCTATTATTAGTATCATTTATTGAGATTAATAAAAAAATAAATTATCAATATATAATATAAATAATAATATTTACCGATCCATCATTGAAAGCCCAAGTTAACGTATGTTTACGCCAATGTTCCGAATATGGTCGCATTTTTTGATCTTCCAGTGGTTTACTGTAATCATATTCATCGATTCTTTCCTATATAAATATATTGTTAATTATTAGGAATCATTAATAAATTATAAAATTATTAATATCGATAAAAGTTCGAATTAATGTTCTCAATAATATAAAAAAGGGTAAAGGTGGTATAAGGCAGCCATATGCAATTTTACTTTGAAATCATCTCTTGCGTGTGAACCCCTTGATTCTTTGCGATTTTCAGCTGCATATACGGTGTGCATATTAATAAGCATCATATTTTGTAATTCCAATGCTTCTATTAATTCCGTGTTCCAAATCATCGATTGATCTTGCACCTACATTTATTTTGAATTGATTTTACATATTTTTATTGTTATTTTTTTTTTAAATAAGTTAGATGAAAACGGCCATTTTGAAACTAACGCATATATCTGGTAAATCGCAGGTGTAAAGTTTCGTCATTTCTCGGCATCCTCTTTGTAAAATATCACAAGTTCTAAATACCGAACAATATTTATGCATAGTTTGTTGCATTGATTGTCTAAGTTCATGAACGGGGATGCAACCTTTTGCATAACGTGTAGCATCAAATCGACAAATTGATTCTTCACCCAAATCCTTCATTTCATTGAAATTAAATGTAATTAAATTTATCAATAAAAAAATATATATCAAATAAGTTTCTTAATTTTGTATCAAATTTACAGGAGGAATTTCTTCGTGTCGTTCACCAGGTCTAGTAATGCAATCAATTTGTTCAGCTATTGCTTTACCAAAAACAATGATTTCTAATAAACTGTTAGCACCAAGTCTATTGGCACCATGAACAGATGCACATGCGGTTTCACCAGCTGCCCATAATCCATCTATAACACTGTCTTCTTCATTTTCACGCGTTAACACCTGATTCAGATAAGTCATAATTTAGAAACATTGTTCATACAGTCTTTTCAATTTGATTTACAATTTTTTTATATAGTTTCAAATGAATACTAACTTGAGCACGGTAATTTGTAGGTATTCCACCCATATTGTAATGGACCGTTGGTACCACCGGTATTGGATCTTTAGTAATGTCGACACCAGAAAATACCCATGCTAAATGTGAGATGCCTGGTAACTTGGTACGTATAGTTTCAACAGGTACATGATTTAATGCAAGATGCACATGATCTTTTTTAGGACCTAAACCTCTGCATAAAGGAAGAAAACACAAATGAAGAAGAATATCCTGCACATATATATATATATGAAAAATAATGTAACTCACCTTCCTTCAACTATTTCTATGGTAATAGCACGGGAAACAATATCACGTGATGCTAAATCCTTAGCCACTGGTGCATATTTTTCCATGAAATATTCACCTTGGGAATTTACCAATTTACCACCTTCTCCTCTACTTCCTTCTGTTATTAATATTCCACTTCCATACAATCCTATGATACCAAGAAAATAAGGAAAAATATGAGAAAAAATAAGGAAATAAATTATTAAATGAATCATTTATATATTTTGTATTAGAAGTTTTAAAGAGAAAAAAAAAAGATTGAAGAAAGATACAATTATTATTTTCAGTAATAGCGTATATATACATACCTGTAGGATGAAATTGTATAAATTCCATATCCTGTAATGGTAATCCTGATCTTGAGGACATAGCCATGCCATCACCTGTACAAGTATGTGCACCCGTACAAGATAAATAACATCTACCAGCACCTCCCGTTGCTAGCACCTTACAATAATATAAAAAAAAAAACATAAATTCTTATTAATATTCATTTAACACGAAGAAATAGTATATGAGTCATACGAATGACAAATACGGTATGATGAGCTCTAAAACGATGAAGTATTCCTGTTTCTAATTCCCAAGCGAGAACTCCTTTGCAGCAACGACCATGCATTAAAAGATCAAGCGCAAAATATTCTATGTAATAATGAACATCGTAACGAAGACTTTGACCGTATAAAGTAAGAAGAAGAGCGTGTCCAGTTCTATCTGCTACAGCACAAGTTCGACGTGCTTGACCACCTTTTCCAAATTTCAACGATTGCCCACCAAATGCACGTTGATATATTTTTCCAGACTCGTTGCGACTAAATGGACATCCTAAAGAAAAATACAGAAGATAACAATTATGTTACAATTATATAATAAATTATACAATTATACAATATTATTATTGTATAATAAATTAAATATATCTTTAACAGATTGCAGATACATATCTTATGTTAATAACATTATAAATAAATTATTTAAATAATCTAAATATTTATTTAATTAATTATAATCAATTATTTAAATATCTGCAATCTGTTTGTTATAGAAAAAAAAGAGACATTGTATTTCATAAACAAACAAAAAAGAACCATAATTATCTAGTTCATAAACTGCACGAGGTGCTTCTCTGGCTAAAAAATGTATAGCATCCTGATCTCCTAGCCAATCGGATCCTTTGACCGTATCATACATGTGATAAAGCCAACTATCTTCGTGTTCACTTGCTATAGCAGCATTTAAACCACCTTGAGCAGCAACTGTGTGTGATCTTGTTGGAAAGAGTTTAGTTACTACAGCAACACGATATCCTTTACTTCCTAAACCAAATGCTGCTCTTAAACCTGCACCACCAGCTCCTACTACCACAACGTCATAACAATGATCTACCATTGGGTAATCCTGTTAATTTATAAATAAATTATTTCATTTATTTTATTATTTATTATATTATTATCAATTAGTCACTCACATTTCCTCCATTTGTTTGAACACCGCAATTTGATTTTTCAGATGGGCTGACATTAACATGAAATTTTGTTCTGTTCACTCTCCATGGTGATTTTGTCCACTGACAAAATATACACAAAGATAAAAAGATTATATTATGTTAAATAATAATTTTTAATATATATATATTTATTTTGAATTACTTTAGATGAAAGTGGTATCAACTTGTTTAAACATCGAGTTAACATTTTGAAGGAATATAAAATTATTTTTCTCTTCTGATATATATAGTTGATAACCTTAATTATTTTTTAACGCTGTTATCTTCATTTGTTAATATTATAAACAAAATACGAGAAAGGAATTTCGTATTACAAATCAGGTATAGTTTGTTACTTCACATTAATTCGATTTAAAACAAAAATGGTTAAAATATTAAATATAATAAAATTAAATATTTATTTATTTTATCAATGCGAAGAGAAATCATTGATAAATAAATTGGATAAACAATATTTGCAATATAAAACAGAAAAATAAAAAAATTAAGAGATAAATAATGATGAGATATGTGCTTGAGACAGTATTTTAATGATGATTTATTTGAAATTGATATTTTAATAGTAAAGATGATATAAAGATGAATAGATTGATTGAATATCTGAATGTTTTATTGATAAAAATTAACATAATGATCATTCCTATTAAAATAGCTATAATAAATCATAATTATTGAATATTGAGTAGTATATAGTAAAAAAACGTGATTTCGAATATTTTCTCGATGTATCATTGAAAGAGAACAAGTTCGTGATATTTGAATTATATTAATGAAGTCATTAAATATTTCACTTACAAATAATATATTAAATATAAATCTGTTTTATTACTAAATATAATAAATATAATTATATATATATTATATTTTTATTATAATATAAATTAATATATTATATATTTATATAATTAAAATTAATTATAATATTAAATTAATTATATTTAATTAATTTCTTAATTTATTATATATTTTTTTATTAACTATATTACGAGTATATTATATTAATAATATATTAATTTATTATTATTATTATTAAATATAATCAAAATTATTAAATATATTAAATAATTTTAAATTATATTAAAATTAATTATATTACTATTAAATATAATCAAAAATAAAAATATACATATATTTATAAATATCATCGTAGTTATGTATGACAATTGATTATAATAAATATTAATTTATAAAATATTGATTATTACACGATGATTAAGCATTCATTTTATTGCATTTGTAAAAATACAATTTGAATTTACAAATAATGTGAATATACATCGAAATTGGCATAGAAAAGAAAAAGTAAGAGAGATAGAGATAATACGCATGCACATTAATTATTTATTTTATTTATATAATTTTATATAATTAATTATATAAAAAAAGGATACCCCCAGTATTCTTCGATTTTTCTATAAACTTGTATAGATCATAATTAAAATTCAAATTAAAAATAGAAAATTTCCTAAGATTATAATAATAATAATAATAATAATAATAAAGGACACTTGATTAAATCGCGTAAGTCACATATTTGTATTGCAAGTATAGTTATGACAAGAAACGTTAATTAATTAATTAATTAATTAATTATTACATTTGTTTCTTAATCTTCGTTATGAACGATTCGTCGAGTTTAAAAAAAAAAAAAAATTTAGGATACCGAATGTATATATATAAAAAAAAAAACAAAAACAAAAGGAAATTATGTCGAAGTTAGTCATAGAAAAAAAAAAAGAAATAAATAAATTAAAAAAAAAATATAAGAAAATAATCAAAGTGCGAGCCTCTTGACACCACATTGGCAACAATACTTGGCAGTCTCGGGAAATCTTGATCCACACTCATGACAAAATCTTGACATTCTACATTTTGTTTTAGTAATTGCCGATTGATTATTTTCTCGACGATTATTCCTCGACACCATAAGATTTTCCTCCATAAGATTTGACGTATCGTTGTTGCCATTGCTGCTGCTGCTGCGTCCGTGATTCGAATATTTGCGATTTAAACTAATATTTTAGAAAAACAAAAATAACAAAATTACATTACCTTAATTCTCATTATTTTGTTATAAACAATTCATTTGTTTTATTTTTATTAATAAATTTTCTCAACAAAAGTAATTGATTTGACTATTTTAAACAAAAATAATTTAATTACTTGTCGCAAACAATGTTTTAAAAAGAAAAAAAAAAAAAAACAAGAAAAAATTAATTTAATTTTATTAAAAAAATTTATAAAATTGAAAAAGAAACAATTAAATAAATACAATAATATCATTTATATTTAATTTAATAATTGAATTTCATCTAGTAATTAAAATTTCTCTCGAAAAAGTAGTTATACTTATTTTAATTTGTGTGATATTAATTTTATACAATTAAAAAACAAATAATTAGAAATACAATGATTTGATAATTTCATTTAATTTCGTATAATCAATTTCACGAGAAGAAAATTGAACTAATTTAATTTACATATTAATTTATACGATTATAATAACCTCTTTCATCAAGGTACACAGTGAGTCATTTTATGTTTGAAACAAAATAACTATTTTTATTTATCAATTAAATTTATAAATAATTAAATATAAATTTTATTAGATAATATTTGAAAAACTCGAAAGAGAGTATTATTTAATTTTTTTTTTGTTAAATAACAATAACATTAAAACAAAAAATAGATCAAAACAATAATTGAATTTCATTAAATTTGCGTAATAAATTCGTACCAATTGAAAAAGAAGAAGAAAAAAAACCAAAAAAGAAAAGAATTTAAAAAATACAAATATTTGTAATATTTAAAGAAATAAAAAACAAAAAGAAGTATATATATATATATATGTATATTAACCTGCTGTATGCAGAATCGGCATTAATTTTATTTTCTCGTTGTTTGTAGTTGTCCGTAGAAGAAAATTCATCGTCACTGATTTGTCCATTAAATTGGCTGTTATTGTCGGGACCAATTGGACCATTGGAGGAAGAAGTTCTCAAGGATTCGTTTCTTAGGAGGGACCTCAAGGAAGGGAAAGAATCATTACCAACTAAATCATCATCGTCATTATCAAAAGAAGTTATCAATTGATCAAAAACAGAATTGGAACGTTTCATATCTATTTCGGAAGATACGATTGAATTAATACTAAGATCGCTACTGGAAAATGTTAAATAATCATTTTTAACGTTATTATGTAATTTAACAATTTCATTGTTATTATCATTAGAATTCGAATGTTTATGTTTTCTTTGATAAATAGATTTAGGTGCTGAATATGCACGAACAGTTTGTAATTTGTTAGCTTGAGATTTAGAAATTTTAGTTGAAGATCCTCCAACTTTGTCAGATATTTTACTAGAAATATCGTCATTTTTGTATCGTTTATCCAAACCAGTAGATTTATTTTGATCAATGTCATTACCCAAAGCTTTAGATTTGTCTAATATCATTCTACGACCTAATTCTTTGTTAATCATTTTCTTTTCACGATCGTTTAATTTAATATCATTAAATTCTTTGACAAACATCTCGTGAGATATTGAATTAGTTTCCGTAGAATCGCTTGAAAAATCTGACGTTAATTCATCCAATTCATTGGTAATGGATTTGTCCAAATGTTTTGTTTTATTTTCATAAGGATATTTAACAAAAGCGGAAGAATGTGAAAGAGGAAAGTGAGATTTGTTCGAAGAAGTTGAAGGAATTTCCGTCAAGGACAAATCACTCGAATCCGATAATAAATCGTTCATTTGTCTTTCTGCTAATAGAAAAGGATCGTATTCCTTGCTGGTACCACCACTGTAACACATACATTTGTTTTTCCTTTTTTTTTTTTATTTTTTTTTTATTTTTTTATGCTAATAAATTTGTAAATTTATTTGTTTGTTTAATTTTTAGGTATTATGTCAGTTAAATGTGTGTGTGTGTGTGTGATTTTTCATTCGAACATTGGTAGCATATTTTAACGTTCATTTTCAAAAAAATAACATGAAAAATATTAGCATGTATATATGAAATGTTTAATATGAAAACAAGAATAAATTGTTTTGTTAAAATTTATTCGAATAATTACATTATGAAGAGAATGATATTCGTCATGCAAAAGTAATATCATTTTTAACCCTTTGAATTGCTATGGGCGCATATATGCGTTCACAGAGTTAAAAGAGTTAATATTAAAGAAACGTAATACATTTTTGCGCAATATAACATATATATGTTACGTTATATATATAAGTATATTTATATTATTATTAATAATTATTTTTAATATTTTATTTATAATATAATTATATATATATATATATATATATATATATAAATAATATATTAAATAAAATATATATTATATAATTATATACAGGGTGGGTCAGCACATTTTACCATCTAGATTTACGTTATTATTATTACGCGTAGCAGACAATGTTTCACATGGAGTTGAATGGCTTTGAAAGGGGTTCATACTGATGGTACTTTCTTTTTTGTGTAGGTGGACGTGTAAAGGACATATGAAGGTCATTAATGTTTTTTTAAACGGAATCATATATTTTTCATTGCATCATCTGATGCTCTTTCATATTATTTACAAAAAACCTATTAACCTATTTATGTAAAAAAAATTATTACTTTAGAAGATAATTTAATTTTTATATCTATTTACAAAAAAGGTTCAATGTGGTAACGACCATTTGCATCAGTACACTTTCTGAATCGAGAAATTAATGACTCATTAACGTTTCTTAATGTATCTGATGTTATTTTCTTGCATTCATTGACGATACGATCCCTCATGTCGGCCATTGTCGGAGGCTCAGCGTAATATTATATACCAACAGATTTCCTCAATGAAATACTCCATCACGTCGTACCTTTGATATCATTTTTAAAAAATTTCACCAGACAGGGCAATTAGTACGCAAAAAGGCAATTCGTAATAAAACAATTACAAATGAGGAAAACGAAATTGCAGTGTTAGCCGCAATTACGATAAATACATCCGTTAGCTCTCGCGAAATCGAAAGCTAAATCCAGACTAGCTGGAATTAGCCGCAAAAGTATTTTACGCATACTGATAAAACACAAATACCATTCATATCATGTATCAAAGGTTCAAGAACTGACCGCAAATGACTGTTATCAACGTTTACAATTTTGTAATTGGGCTCTCACTCAAAGAGACAACTTTTTCAGCAATGTTATGTTCACGGACGAAGCAACATTTATGAAAAATGGATCAATGAATTCAAGAAGTGACCATTATTGGTCAACGGAAAATCCTCATTGGTTTAGACAAATGGATAATCAACATCGATGGAGTGTAAATGTTTGGATGGGCATACTCGGTGATAAACTTATTGATCCATACTTTATCGAAGGGTCACTAACCGGACCAAAATATGCAAATTTTTTATCAAACACTCTATGAACATTTTTAGACTATTTACCATTGCATACATGACAAATAATGTGGATACAACAGAATGGTTGCCCTGCTCATTATTCAAGAATAGCAAGGGATACATTAAATCAAATGTTCCCAAATCGTTGGATAGGACAGATTGGATGGGCCCATTCATTTTCCGGCTAGATCATCAGATCTAACGCCCCTCGACTTTTTCTTATGGGGCTACTTAAAAAATAAAGTCTACGCTGAGCCTCCGACTACAATGGCCGACATGAGGGATCGTATCATCAATGAATGCAAGAAAATAACATCAGATACATTAAGAAACGTTAATGAGTCATTAATTTCTCGATTCAGAAAGTGTACTGATGCAAATGATCGTTACCACATTGAACCTTTTTTGTAAATAGACATTAAAATTAAAATATCTCTCCTAAAGTAATAATTTTTTTTACATAAATAGGTTAATAGGTTTTTTGTAAATAATATGAAAGAGCATCAGATGATGTAATAAAAAATATATAATTCCGTTTAAAAAAACATTAATGACCTTCATATGTCCTTTACACGTCCACCTACACAAAAAAAAAGTACCATCAGTATGAACCCCTTTCAAAGCCATTCAACTCCATGTGAAACATTGTCTGCTACGCGTAATAATAATAACGTAAATCTAGATGGTAAAATGTGCTGACCCAGCCTGTATATATAAAAATGCATAAATAAAAATTAAAATATAAATTATTATAAATATTATTTATTAATAATAGAATATATTAATAAATTAAATAAAATAATATATTATATATATATACGTATATATAAACGTATTATACATATATGTATATTAGAGTTAATTAATAATTATTAGATTATGTATAACATAGGTGTTATATATATATATTTATCTAATATAATTGACAAACACGCGTGCAACTAATATCTATTAGACAATACATGCTAATAAATGAAAGAAAGAACGTCACATAAAATAATGATTTAATGAAATGCAAAATAAAATAAAAATAAAACGTGCAGTCTATACCGACTTACATTCTACACCTAAGCACGAGATTAAAATCCGGTCGTCTGCGAATGTAATTACTCCATAGAGGACGATTAGATGAATTCGTACTCCTATAAATTCGTTTCGAATCGTTTTCGATATTTATAAAATAATTTTATTTTTTTTTCTTTTCTTATTATATATTTATATATATTTTTATTTTTTTTTGTTATTATATATATATTTATGTTTCT